CAACCAGGCGCAGGCGGCATACAGCCAGTATGTCCGTCGTCTGGATTGCGTGTCCGTCACAAGGCGGTCACTCCTTAGAGTACATACAAGGTCAATTGTCATGATGGTCATCCAAGAGAAGGTAGAGATCCAGGCCATGTGTGCGACTGCAGCCACGACCACGCAGAGAGTTCCTTTCGGCAGCGCCAATACCAACTGCAGGCTCTGGGAAACGAAGGAGTGTCCCAGATAAAGACATAACAACCTTTCCAGGCACATTCCTGAGTTCAGGTAGCAATCCGTATACCACCAACGTTCCTAACAGAAACGTTATCGATAATGAAGATGTAATAATTGTCAGGTAATACTGAACATGAGAATAATTGAAAAAGTAGAACCGGGTCTGTTCAATATAGTCTCTTGTCAGGTTTGATTCACAGACAAAGGCGTAATTGCTGAACAGCCTGTAGGTATTTGCCTCAAACACTAAATCAGAATTAAGCAGGCTAAGCGTTCCATTGGTGACGGTGTACTGGGATGCGTTATAAAGGAGAAACGCACATTCAAGGAACACCCCAACGTCCTGTAAACAACCCTTGATCATCACTGTCGAGTTAGTAGCAACGAATGGATGAAGCTGGTACACGAACGGGACATTGTCAACTGGAAAATACATCCGATTAACAACGGCATCGTACAGCTGACGGTCTGTGTCCAATGTTGCATTGAAATCATAAAGAGTCTGATTGGCTGGACAAGATAGTTGCTCTCCGTCCTGGTAGTCTCGGAGATAGGCGTATGCCATCGACCATCCTTTTAACTCAAGTTCATCTGGAAACAACTTGAAGATGTCCCGGCAAGCCGACAGCACCAGCGAGGCTGCATTATCAGTGTCAAACGCCAGCACCAGTTTCGTTGTCAGGCCTGCTACCTCATCATCTGATACTGCTCCCGAGTCATCATAAGGTGGAAACATGTTTTTCGTGGTTGTGTTTTCATCTGCCATTATATCCTCCTTGATAAAATCTATAAACCTGATCTCGATGTTTGAGTATCTGGCCATGAAGTTATCCATCCTTTGAATGAACGCACTTTGAAACATGTCCTCTAAGTCGTCTGATGTACTTCGAGGAAGAGACTTTACATAACATACGAGGAAGAAATGTAGAGGTCCTGACTTAAACACCTGGCCCTCTGCAGGGATGTGGTCTCTATCCTTAAGGTGACAGGTCCCGTTTGCAGGGTACCTATCAGGGCTGCAGAGCAAGGTGGTGCACGACAGAGTCAGTGTGTCATACACCTCATTCGACTTACATAGCTTGTGAGTTTCGTGAACATGGTAGAGCTGCTTCCCCACTGTGTAACTCATCCCGTTATCGTAGAAGTTAAACAAGATCTGCAGACTTGCAATCTGCGGTTGGGTGTTATGCGGAGAAGCAGTTGTTCGGTAATTTGTTCTCCCGCCTCCTAATGTCTCGGTAGTCAGTGTCATTGGAGAATGGTTATTCTTTCCTGGGATCTGTACCTGCCCCTCTTCTTTGAAATCACAGCGCATGTTCTCAGCGGTATACTTTTCTCGCAGCGTACACATTGCACAATGGACATTTTTGTACGTTTGACCGTGAATGTCTCCAATGACGTTTACATAAAGATGACAAAGCTTGCGCAGTTGGCTGATGTCAGAGGGTTCGTCCCCAGTGACAACCGGACATTCTGACACCACAGTAGGAGGCGTACAGTTCCTTACAAAACGCCACATGTTAGATTCATACACGATTTCACATTCAGAAGAATTTAACATTTCCGACATGACAGAGCCATTTATCATGTCAGTGGCATTTGACGCAAGAGTTGACAAATGTTTACCTTTATGACAGCTAACCGTCACTGGCCATGGAATGACACTGCTCGTACCAACGCCATGACAACGAGCACACAATGCATTCTTGAACAATATATTGACATCCAACGCAAATGACACGGGACTCAAAAGCACAGGGTTCTTCCCGGGATTCTGACAACTTGGCTCAGACGTTTGCCCAGAGCTGAAATTTTCAGGACACCTTGAGATCATCCAGACATGCCCAGTTGTAGAATGTGAACACTTTAGTTTTGTACACGTCATGTAATGCCGAAACGTCATGGCATCGATTCTCATATTGATGGCTGCTACTGTGTTAAAATGCGGGTTGTCTTTGCTCAAAGGTATTTGGGTAATGTTTTCAAAACTAGACATGGCGTCAAGGCTATTACCGGCCCCTTCCGGTGGTTGGCAGTGGTAGTAATAGTCATCACAACAATCTCCATATATTGGGCACACCGGGTCACATTCACACGTTGGTAAATGGGGGAGGTGAAGGACGTGATGTCGGACTCGGTGATTGTGTTGTTTGTATCCACAGTTACCCTGGCACGTCATGGTGTTGTTGCAGACGGGTGCATCGCTGTATATTGATGTCGCAGCCAAGATGTCGGGCAAACCTGAAACAAGGTATGTATAAGTTGAAAATGTTTAGGCCGTTTTAGCAACTGCGGCAGGTATGTACCACAATAGGATGCGAATATTGTACCAATAATGCGATTCAAACCAAGGCCTAACCGCGATCACCAAAGGAGGGTGTCTGTGTTGGGCTGGGTGAGATAGGCAGATCTTGAATCTCTTTTAATATACTACCCATCAGAAGTTTAGACTCACTTAAAGCACTCACTATATGTTATGTATATATATATGGTTACATCGAAGATGAATTTCTCTACTAACTTGGGGGGAACCACCTGCAAAGCTTATGCGGATGAATTGCACGAGGATCATGTATCAAATTGCTGAAAAGCTTGTGCAAATATCGTGCATGTGAACAGTTGCGTTTTAGTGTAAAGTTTTGTTAAGAAATCGCCAATTTTCACTGATTTTTATCATTTATTGAACCCATGACAATAATCTTTTCAACGTTACAAATTTGTTTTACAATACATCAATTCATGTGTAAACAGTACCTTTAAACAGTGTGGAATATTTTGCAAAATCTAGTTTCGAACAGGTGACTGAAGTAAGTGGCTACATTTACACTAGTGAGTCTAAACTTTTGATAGGTAGTATATGAATATAAATACTCTATTCAATTTACGTTTATTTAGCTGAAAATATAAAGTCTTCGAACGGCAAATCGATACACATAAAAGCGAGAATTTATGATGTCAACTTCAACACATCGTATCGGAGTATATTCATACTCCATTATTAGGTGAATGAAAAACTAGGAAGCAGATAGCTATGTAAGTACGTGTGAAACTTCCAACAGTGATATGATAACAACAAGGGAAGCCAGTAGTGAGTGAGTATGGTTTTACGTCGCTTACAGGAATATTCCAGCAATATCACTGTGGGGAGACACCAGAAATGGGTTTACACATTGTACCCATGTGGGGAATGTTTCCAGCGTGACGGGCTACCCACCGCCCTAACACGGATGTTCACGAGTCGTAATAGCAATGGACAAATGGAAGCCAGGGATTAAAACTAGTCAATTAAATGTATGTATGTTATAAGTTCACGTGATATAGGTTTTCATCTCAAAGGATCTTCGTGTGTGACCAGTCATCTAACCACTTGGCAACACTTTCTTTATAATACTTGCAAAGGCATGGAGATATTCATTTAGCTGGAATATTGCCGTGAGGCGTTAAACAACACACAAAACATGTTGATCTGCGCAGTACCTGGTTGTACGAGGGTTTCACAATTAAAGCACTACTACTATTGTAAGCCTGTGTTTAAGGAAAGGGCTGACTGACTGACTGAGTTTGGTTTTACGCCGCTTTTAGCAATATTCCAGCCACATCACGGCGAGGGACACCAGAAATGGGCTTCACACATTGTACCCATGTGGGGATTCGAACCCGGGTCTTCGGCGTGACGAGCCAACTAGGCTACCCCACCGCCCTTAAGGAAAGGGACCGTCTTAACACTAAGATCGCTTTGTGAAACAGCGCCAAGGGAAGTGACGGCGAAAGAGTGGCTGAACTTGTAAGCCTTGATCAATCAATACCAGAAGAGCAAATACGTTTAGTCGTACAGGATTCATCTCGCATCAAAACAGTGTTTTCGTGAGATTATATAAGAAATATATAATTATTTCTGTACTGGTAAGTTTATCTAAACTCACCTTGAATCAGAAGCCCAAACACCAAACACAAGATACGCTCTTTAAACATCATTTCAGAAGTGAATCAGCGGTCAGTAGATAGTTGCAGCAATGATACGTGAAGTGTGGACGTGTTTCCTTTTAAACATTTTGAATAAAATCGACACTAAACACTATGTTTGCTGACGACTTTAATGGCAGGGGTTGTGGTTACTGTTACTACTTAACTTATCACTTGGAAAAACAATAGTCGAACGAACGTGTCTCGCTTAATGAGGGCAATAATTTTATGTCCGTGATAGAAGAGGAGATAATGGGGAAAGTGACCATGAAGAGTCAAATCGTGTACTCAATTTCTGACTGTTAGTGGCTGAAGGCAGTCATCAAGAGATGGCAAGAGTCTGAATGGCGTGAAGTAAAAAGTTAAATTCACTTTTTACACGCGACACCTGTGTTATATAACTAGCAGTATAAAATGTGTAGTCTGGTGGTTAAAGCGTTCGCTCGTCACGCCGAGGACCCGGATTCGATTCTCCACATGGGTATAATGTGTGAAGCCCATTTCTGGTGTCCCCCGCGGTGACATGGGTGATACTACTGGAATATTGCTAAAAGCGGTGTAAAACTAAACTCACTCACTATATGTCTCTGAGGTTTGTCATCTTTGAGGCCAGTCATATTTCATTCCGATCTACCTCAAATAGTCACCATTCACAAACATTAATTGCATGAAAAAAACAGAACAGTGTAGAACATTGTAGTTCTTCCATCATGCAAAGATGTCATTGGGTCGTAAATTCTGACAATCATGAAATAAGTGTCGTGGTTTTCTCAGTTGTGTTACATGACTGGTCCCTAAACCGGAAATAGAATGGTCCCCTGTAAACATGGCCGCTTTCGTCAGGCTTTGCTACACGTGCAGTGCAAAAAAGGCGTCTAGTATCTCTCAAGGAAATTGTATTTTATCCAGACGGTTGGCGACGACGGTAAATTATGGAGCTGCGAAGAGTAGAAACTTTGGACACTGTCAGTGCAAGCTGTATAGTGCTGAGAAACCCGTCAATGGATTACATCAGACAAGGTCGCAAAGTTTGCTCAGTCACTGTGAACAACGTACTGGGCATTCTCGGACATTGAGCACTTGTGGAAATCAATAATATTACAAATAGTGCTAATATATCTAATTTTATGAAATTCAACACTTCAGCATTGAATCTGAACAGTCGGGTTAGTCGGGCATTACTGGGGCAGAGTCGACTTGTTTCTGCTACGGTTTCTTCAAGATATTTTTCGAGTAGTTCTGATAAAGGTGACGGAAACGAAGATGGACAGCCTGCTGAGGAGGAATCGCCGACGCCGCATGTGCAGCCAGAGCCATTTCCAATGGGAGCTCTTACCACCTTGGCAGTTCCAGAGATTTTCCCCAAAGTGCCTGTTATTGCAATCAGCAGAAATCCAGTTTTTCCAAGATTTGTTAAGATGATAGAAGTAAGTTTCATGGTCACATGATTATAACAAAAGCAAGTAGGTCTCTCATTTTTCTGTGTCACTTTCCTCAATTTCTTATTTATGCATGCATGCATGCACACACACACACAAAGATTAAATGGGCGATGTGCAACAGTGTACACAGTACAGTTGTACATAGCCTGCGACCTTGTTGTATCGCGGTACTTGATATATCCATAATCAGAAATAAAATTGTGAACTTATGAGGCCTATTTTATTATGAAATCTGATTAACATGACATTTAATCAACATATTTATGAAAAAATAATATTTTAACTTTGATAGTTTTTCAGCGAGAGCCATTAGTCGAACGAAGCTGTTTAATCTTTACCAAGGAGAGAACTCCATCGTATCGCGGTAAACACTAAAACTGGGATTGCAAGTTGAAATAGGGAACAGAAAATGATATTGCTTAACTGATATGGCAACAATGATATGCAGATGACCTAGTTCAGATTGAGTGGGAAGGGTCATATACAATACAAAACATAAATATTATGGCAGGTATTTGATGGAAGGGTTTCAGACAGATTCCAAAAGATTCCAGAGTTTAATGTTAATATTTCTGCTGGATAATACTTACGAAGATTTGATACATCCTGCTGGTCTCCAAAAAGTAAACAAGTGACTGATGTCTGGCTATCGATTTACATATTCAAATCGTCGCTATTAGGGCGTGTCTCGTGCAGAAAACCGAAAATACTGTTTGCCGTGATACGATGAATGCCACGATACAACGAGGTCCGAGTGTATACATAAAGATTATTTTTTATGACTACCTGTCATAATGTCAAATTGCATATGAAATTAAATATAGCATAGTTAAGAACTTCTGGAGCATATTTGTTTGATGATATGTTCAACAGTTCGAGTAAATTATCAATTCTGTGGTGTCCTTCTGAGGCCAACAGAATGTAAATACTGGATTAAGCTTTTGCAAATGAATGCAAGTTCATACCCCTTTCATAGTTTCAATGATATGTTATGCTTCAAGTATTTAATGAGAATGATTAAGTCAACTGTGTGAGACAAAGGATATATAATAGTGTTTTTTTGTGTGTCGTTATTAGAGCCGTGACGATATATCGTAGTATCGATAATCGTGATACTTTATCTGACGATAAATATATCAATACTTTTTTTGTATCGTGATATGTATCGCTGACCTTAAAATTATTAATTTTCACCAGAAATTGGCGGTCATGTCAAAATTTACACTGTTACTTGCTATCAAAATATACATTTTGAAAGAAAATAACTAAAGATAGCATATCGTGATATGCATCGAATCAAATCGTATCATTCCAAGATATCATAATACGTATTGTATCGTGAAATTTCTGTATCGTCACACCTCTAGTCATTATACCAAAATGTTGTGGTAAGAACATGTTTTTGTCAGCATTTACATGATTTAGAAGACACTTACGAGACATATGTTTCCAAAAATGGTACCACAGTTTGGAGTTGTCTTCTTTTTTAGTACATTATGGTGATATAAAATCTCTTCTATAACCCAAATTATAATAGAAAACTAAACTCAGTCAGTGAGTCAACATTATCCCAAAGTCATTGTGATATAGCACATACATACATTTATACAGTGATGAAGTACTGACTTTAGTTTCAGGAAATGGCCATCTACAGTTTCTTTTGTGTCTCACACTCCCTGAACCAGATTATTTCCCTTGCCCAGCCCTTTTATAATGCTAAAGCCCTAAATGAAGCTAGTCTAGATTCCTCAGGTCCGTAATCTCCCATCTCACTGGGGCTCCTTTTAATTTAAAAGGAATTATTTACTTCTGTCATAATTATATATGTTCAGAGACCCAAGCTTGCTACTCTAGTCCCAGGGTATTGGTAAGGTTCTTCTTGAGTACATTCAGTTTTTAACTTCAGGCAGTGTCAGGATAATGATTTTGCATTATGTTTCTTCTTGAGTACATTTGTGGAAATACCTAGGGAATGTTGCCCATAAGATTAGCTTGGTTGGCTTCCAAAACAGAAGGGGCGCAAATTGGGTAGCCTTAAAGTGGTTACAAGCATTGTGCTCAGTTACAGCATGAGTAACATGATTGAAGATCACGCCGGATTCAATCCCCACATGTGGGAATAAAGTGTTTATAATGTGTCACAGAGCCCATTTTCTTGGTAGCTTGTGTTCCCATGCTGATTCAAATGATGTAACTGGAATATTGCTATGAAAGCAGCGTGAAAACCGTTGAAACTCTCGTGAAAACAGGTGAAAATGAACTGGTGTAGATATAACTTATGCAATATTATCTTGTATAAGATGCAGAGTTAAGTATCATTAAGCATTTATAAAAATAACAACATGACAACAAAACAATATGTATTGCCTACTCTTGTATTATTAAGCATGTTAAGGGCTACAGAAAGTGGAAACATCAAGTGTATGATATAGTATATATATGATGTGTTTTGTCAATTCAGGTTGGTGACAAAACTTTGATGGATCTGCTGAGAAGGAAAGTGAGACTCAATCAACCATATGCTGGAGTGTTCTTGAAAAAAGATGACAGGTAATTTTGTGTGATAAGCTCTTGGTTATACTGACCACACTCACATGTAGATCAACCTGTAAAGATCTGGGTTGGAAATGGTCTTCAACAATCCATGCTTGTCGTAAAAGGCGACTAACAGGATTGGGTTGGATTTGCGTAGATTGATGCTCATGCTGTTGATCACTGAATTGTCTTGTCCAGATTCCATATAGCTGGAATATTGCTGAGTGCAGCGGTAATCAACAAACAAACAAACAAACAAAACAAAGAAATCACATGTCAATCCCTGGTCAGGTGTGATGTTTGATTGATGATATCAGATACTGAAGTGGCTGTCTATGTGGTGTAGGGGCCTTTGGGTAGCCTGGTGGTTAAAGTGTTCGCTTGTCATGCCGAAGACCCGGGTTCGATTCCCCACATGGGTACAATTTGTGAAGACCATTTCTGGCGCCCCCTGATGTGATGTTGCTGGAATATTGCAAAGAGGGGCGTAAAACCAAACTCACTCACTCTGTGGTGTAGTGGATAGATCATCTGTTTATAGACAGGATGGTCTGTGGTTCGATTCCTGCATTGCACTAAATGACATTAACAGCGGCATTTGTTGTTGCCCATAAAGGACAGTTACCTGTGTCTGGCAGGTACCCATGTTTTAACTGTGGCATGGTAGCTTGGTGGGTTATCACTGTAAACCACATTAGCCTGGACTAGCACCAGCACCAAAAACACACACTGTATGCATCTTGCCTGACTTAAAGTCTCAGGTGAATTTTGGGGCTGTGGGGTAGCCTTGTGGTTAAAGCGTTCGCTCGTCATGCCGAAGCCCCGGGTTCGATTCCCCACATGGGTACAATGTGTGAAGCCCATTTCTGGTATCCCCCGCGGTGATATTGCTGAAACCCAACTCACTCCCTCAGGTGAATTTTAAAATGATTAATTTAGCTTAAACAATTCAAGATGTTATATGAGTAATGTTATCACTGTTTCCAGTAACGAGAGCGATGTTGTCTCCCGCCTTGATGACATCTAGGACGTGGGAACCTTCGTCCAGATTACTGAGATGCAGGACCTCGGAGACAAGCTGAGGATGATTGTCATGGCGCACCGCAGGTAGAAGGCAGAACTTAGTGAGACAGACATACATTATAATGCAGTATTTTCATTCCATACTACAGTTTGTTTCTTAGTTTTGTCTTATAATGGTAATTATTCCGATCTCAAGTAGTTTATATTTTCTTTGTCACAATGTTGGTCACCATCAGTAATTTATGTCCGTGTTGAGTTGATAATATTTGGTAAACTTTAACTATTTTTCGCATCACTAAGACAGATTTACCACTGTTAACTTGCCATGTACAAATGTAAAAATGTCAGACTTCATGGCTTGTGTAGCTACAGTGTATGTTTGATTTGTTTGTTGTTCAGCACTCAGCAACATTGCAGCTGTTTGGTGACAGCCTATAGATATAGAAATCATAACCGCTTTTTCCTTTGACCTCTATATATTTATAGCAATTAAAAACTCCCTTTCAGGATTCGGATTACTGGACTTCTGTCAGAGGAAGCTGAAGTGCAAGTTGAGGCCAGTGAACCAGGTATTTCCTCATGTTCAGGCAGGATAGTTTGGTGTGTTCATGGGATAGAGTTATCTCCCTTCCATTATGTACAAACACCAACAGTCACAAGTTGTGTGTAGGATATTCGTAAGAGTGTTCCAAGGGACATAACTCTATGAGGTTTGCTTGAAATAATGCTCGGCCGGTAGAGTGTGCGAGAGTTGATTTAATGCTAAGTTGCGTTAATTTATTCAAATTTTTTAATTTGCTATTGTAATCTAAATGCGTAAATTCCTAATAAATTGTATGGTAGCTTCCCTGAGGGATGATAGTTAGTATTATTGAGAATTAGAGGTGTGATATAGAGCCTTCAGATAAATATGTTTTTGTGTTAGTAGCAACAAAAAAATGAGTTAACATGCATTATTTGGTCATCAGATTACTAAACTTTTTCAAAATTTGTATGTCCTTTTTAACAGTAAAAGCTTTTTGTAAATCAAGTTTTATGTAAAATATATGATTAAATAGTCAGATTTTGTCATTTTGTTGGAGAGGCGTCTTTCTACCAGATTCTTAAGGGACCTGTTGTAGAATGTAGCTATGTCAGAAAATAACCAAATGATCATTCTTATAGTCCGTTTGGCTCAAAATCGTACCAGTGAATTGCAATCTAACTCGAAAACTACTAAATATATAATACTCAATGAAACACTGATCATAATCAAAACATCAGACCAACTCTGGGATTTTTTTGCACAATTTGTGTCCTAAAAATATATAAAGTTGTTTAACGAACTATCATTAAAATGTTGACACCGTTCACTATTTGTTACAAGGGAGGGGTGCAAAGAGAGGAACAGCCAGGTATACGTGACAAAGTTATTGAATCATTTACCTGTGCTGTGCTGTCTCCATCCTTTCTCGCACACCTGGCTGTTCCTCTCTTTGCACCCCTCCCTCGTAACAAATAGTGAATGGTGTAAAAATTTTTTATTTTTAGGACATAAATTCTGCAAAAAAACCACAGAGTTGGTCTGATGTTTTGATTATGATCAGCATTTCATTGAGTATTATAATTTATATGTTTAGTAGTTTTCGAGTTAGATTGCAATTCATCGGTATGATTTTGAGCCAAACGGACTATATAGTTATCCTAAGAAAATAGATAAGCATATTTCAGTAATATTGTCATGGTAAAACAATAACAACTATCAACATTTTCCTACAAGAACTTTATATTATGATCAGACAACAATAACAGTAACAAGAAGAAGCGACGAAGGCGACGTAATGGCCGAAATGGTGTTGAGGAGATGGTGAAGTCAGTGGGACCAGAAGCAGGGGAGTCGTCTCCCTTGTTGGATAATGCCGCAGAGCAGATGCTTCAAGCCCGACACCTGTGCCGCCTGTATCTCAAGTCCTGATGGTGGATGTTGAGAACCTTCAGCATGAACCGTTTACCAGTGACGATGAGATAAAGGTCATTATTTGTCATAATTATGCATTTCTTTAAGAATCGACTTCAGTATTTTTTGTCTAAGAGAAGTGTAATGTTAAAAATTGATGTCCACACTGTAAATTCTACACAAAGTGTACCTGCTGTTTCTTACAATTAGACCTCCATAAATATGAAAACATTATGAAGATAAGATGAAGATCATGAACACAAGGAACAAGACTACTGTACAAAGTCAATGGTGTTAATCTCAATATTGCGACATGTTATCAGTAAACAGTCGTCTGTTAGTTGGCCTCGCATATTTTCTGTTCAGATCATGGAAACAAAAAGATGAAAAAATTGCTTGTTTAGCCAATGAAATGCCACAGAATCACTTGTTATTCATTTCTGTAGACATGATAGATGTATAAGCCTTTGAATTGGTCCAAAATTCCACCTGCTTGTCATAAGATCCTTGGCCCCATATCGCAGTGCAATCATAGCACTGAGGTGTTCGTAACTCCTATACTACATGGACTACAATAATTCAGGGCTCGATTTAAAATATGTTAACCTACTTGCACCAGGTGCAACCAAAGCTAAAAAACCTAGTTGCACCAGCCAGATTTCAGTTGTACTGCTTTAATTGCAACATGTAATGAAAGAAATATGCTATTGAATTATTTAGATGTTTTATTTAGAAGTTTACCCACTCAAAAATTGAGTTGTACCTGGTGCAAGTTAGACTAATAACTAGGTTGCACTATGTAATATTGGGTTGCACCAGTGCAAGTAACAAAGCACTAAATCGAGCCCTGTAATTGTAGTGCTACAGTTGCTTTTCAGAATTGGGTCCTGGTGGATCCTTCCCTTCAGAAACTGTGGACTTGGTGATTTAACTCAGTGGCAAGGATGGGAGATCTCAGCTGATTAAAACCCATGAAGATCTGGGTTAGAATTGGTCTTCAGCAACCCATGCTTGTCGGAAAAGGCGACTAACGGGATCGGGTGGTCAGGCTCGCTGACTTGGTTGACACATGTCTTCGTATCCCAATTGCGTGGATTGATGTTCATGCTGTTGATCCCTGAATTGTCTGGTCCAGACTCGATTATATACAGACCGCCACCATTTAGCTGGAATATTGCTGAGTGCGGTGTAAAACTAAACTCACTCACTCAGCTGATTAAATGTCTGATTTTGTGTCTTGTAATTTGTATTCTTTGTGAAGCATTCTCTTTGTATGTTCATGCTGACCAATTTTTAAGCCAACATGGCATTATACAATATGATACTGGGTTGATTGATGTTTTGATTGAAAAAGGATGTTTGATGTTGTTCAGGCGCTGACATCTGAAGTTGTGAAGACGATCCGAGACATCATAGCTATGAATCCTCTGTACAGGTACATGGACTGTTTGATAATCTATACTGGACAAGCTGCTGTCATTGTGGTAGAAACATAGATGCTTTGTCATGTTAGAACAGTTCAGTCTTGATTGAGGCTTGTCTGTTGATGTTTCTGAGCATGTTAGAAAACACCATACTAAATATTTGTTGTTAGGAAAAAAGTATGTCATAATTATTTTCAGGGATAGGAAGCTGGATGTTATGTTTTGATGGATGTTTCTGTATCCATGTCCTTATATCGGTTACTGGACATACACCATGAAGTGTTAAGCCGGGTTTCCATGTGTGCACAGGGTGGTGGGGTAGCCTAGTGGTTAAAGGTTTACAATGTGAAACCCATTTCTGGTGTCCCCCGTCGTGATGTTGCTGGAATATTGCTAAAAGCGGCGTAAAACTGAACTCAGTCAGTCAGTCAGTCCATGTGCGAGCAGTGCGTGATGCATAGTGCGTAATGCATATACAACACTTTGTACTAAAATAGTAATAGCGGTTTCCATGCACTCGTAAAGCGTGATATGTAGTGCGTAGTGCGTGAATTCGCTTATGCTGAAAAAGTGCCCAAATACGCATCACGCAGCTATACGGAGGCCGGAAGTAGGGATTCCCAAGGGGCTTTCCCAATATCACATGCATTTAATTGCACACACAAGTTGCAAAATGCCTAGAAATTGGGTATCCGAGATACTTCTTGAACAATTAACTGAACTCGTTAGATGCAATCCAGCTATTTACAATGCACCTAGGAAGGACCACAAGGATGTTACGAAGATAGACAATATTTGGAACGCAATTACAAGGAAACTTCAGGAAAACGATGACCAAGAAAGGACTGGGATTTTGAATTATATATATATATATATCTTCATATGTTAAGTTACAAAGTTCCGTTTTGAGAAACAAGGTGGCATTTGAGACAGCAATTGTGATCAGTATGCAGAGCTCCAGATAAGATTTAGCTCATGTGGGTACTGTACCCACTGTTGTTTTTTTTGAGTGGGTATTATGAATGTTGAGTGGGTATTTCATTTTCCGTTACCTACTGCTTTCAAATATGTACGTATTTCAGTCATTTTACTCACCTAAGTATTGTGTCATTGAGTAAGTTAATTAAGCAGGTATATTCTGCCTTATGTCATACCTAATCAAAACCAACTTAAATATAATGGAAATGCTATCACAAAAGATCACTCATCCTACTGAAAGTACAACACTTGTCCTATACTAACAGTACAACTTGATAGCAATCGATGTCTTTTTCATTACGCAAGCGATTTTTATAAATATATTCCGTACGCATTTGTTTTAAACTTTTTGCGTGTCTAACATTTTAAATGCGTAATTGGTACGCAACAATTATTTTTCAATGCGTAATTGGAAAGTTTTTATGCGTATTTTACCCCGATACGCAGCTTATGTGCGCCTCTGGTACGATCTCCAGGAAAAGAAAGACTTGATTTCACGCATCACATAGCCTTATACACGTACACATGGAACTGGACACTACGTACATGTAATGGACTATGGACACGGTTACGCAGACATTACGTACATGGAATTGGACACTATATGACACTATGCATCACACGGTTACGCAGACAATACGTACACATGGAATTGGACACTACGCACATGTAATACGCACTATGCATCACACAGTTACGCAGACAATACGTACACATGGAATCCTAGTTTCAGGCATATTCAGAAGTGGTTGTTGCAGTCAGTGTGCGAAATAGTTTCCAAATTTTGCTAGCCAGTCTGGCAAGCTATGTCTGAAAGTTACTAGCCCACAAAAATATTCACTGGCCCCAGAATTTGAATGTAGAATCTAAGCAAATGATTACAAAAAGGTAAAATACCATCAAAAACAAATAAGAAAACACATGTCTGAATTTCTGAAATATTTTGTTTATGCTCAAATAACTGAAATAAGTCATCATTAAGCTGCTAATATGATTAACTTTTTATCAGGCCATGATCTTGATTTAAAAGTGTATTATAACTTAATAAGTTGGAGAGAGTGATATAGTTACAAAATGACCCCATGAAAAGTCACTAGCCGGGCAAGTGACTCTGGAGATTTACTGGCCCGACTGGATTTTTACTAGCCACAGGCTAGCGGACCAGTGGCTTATTTGCACACTGGTTGTAGTCCATCAGTTTGACTTGACCCTTATGTTGCGGTTTAACTCAAATTTGCAGAATAAGAATAAACCTGTTTTACAAATGTGTATCAAGTATTTTAAATAGTAAGTAAAGGTTGCCATGATTATATCAGATGTGTAAGAGTATTATAATGGACATTTGTGCTCAAAGGCTACCCTCTACTGGATACTTAAGTTATGGGTGTATATGAATGGTTGCCCAGTTTAAAAGATTGTTGTAGGACCAGTATTTCCACAGATTTGTTAAGTAAACACCCCAAAAATTATAACTTATTAATGATTATTCCCTCCTTACTGACTGTTTTCAAGGGTTAGTTTGATGTTTGTCCTCTACTGACACTAAATTTTGTGCATTCCAGGGAGAATCTGGCCCAGATCATCCAGGCTGGACAGAGAGTGATCGACAATCCAGTTTACATCAGTGATTTAGGTTAGTAGACTGGATCACAGGTGCTTGTGCCGGAAAGGGGTTTGTGGTTTGGTGGAGCGGGATCACGTTGCTTCTGGGTTGCTTGTGCTTCCATCACATTGACCGGATCACAATCAACAATAACACTTTGCATGTTTTACATTTACTGTCACAAATAGTACTACGTTATCAGAGACTTTGCTTTAGCTGTATATTGTGTTTCAATATTAGTGATTGTCACCTGTTGGCTTCAGGTGCTGCTCTGACCGCTGGGGAGGCACAGGAACTGCAGAAGGTCCTGGAGGAGACAAACGTAAGGCTCAAGACAATGTAAGTCCTGAGGGAGGAGACAAACGAGAAGTAAGCTCATGACAATGTAATACCAATGAGGGCAGAGTAGGTCACTCACATATATCCTCTTCCCATGGAGGAGACAAACGTAAGGCTCATGACAATGTAATACCAATGAGGGCAGAGTAGGTCACTCACATATATCCTCTTCCCATGGAGGAGACAAACGTAAGGCTCATGACAATGTAATACCAATGAGGGCAGAGTAGGTCACTCACATATATCCTCTTCCCATGGGATTTCTAGGGAAGAACAGGTCTTCCATAACCCATGCTGATCTCCCACCACATTGAGGTCAAGGACAGGCCGCCCGGAGAGCGGAAGGTCGCGGGTTCGATCCCCAACCGCGTCATACCAAAAGACGTTATAATATGGTACTTGTTGGTCCCTGCCTGGTGCTCGGCATTTATGGGTACATCAAGGACTGGTCGGTGCGGAGTCAGTATAATGTGTCTGAGTGGGGTATTCATGCTTCACTGCGGCATGGTATCTCAGTGAGCTAGCACTATAAAACCAGCTTAAGTCTGGGCTAGTACAAGCAACCGCACATACACATACACACGCATGCACGTCGTCATATGAGCGAAATATTCTCAAGCACGACTATAAACCCAATTTCACCTCACCTCACCTCAAAGACAGGAAACATACATCCAGGGTAGAATACATCCCCAGTACATCCTGTTTGGAGGAGGCAAATGTAAGAAGAGGTGTCCCATAACCCTTGCTGCCCTCCCAGAATACATCCCTAGTACATTCTGCTAGTTCCCCATTGAGATCCAGGGAAAAGTAAATCTCCAGAACATTCTGCTTTTTTCCTGATTGAGATTAAGATATGTGCTGTACTATGTGTCTAATATTGAGGCAGGATACCATTTTAGGCTGGACAGTCAGTTAACTTAAGTGACTCTAATAAATGCATGTGATGTATTCTATCGTTCTTGTCTGCTACAGGTACCAAAGAGACTGATGTTGGCGCTGTCATTGTTGAAGAAGGAGTATGAACTCAGCAAGCTCCAGCAGAGGATTGGTAAAGAGGTCAGTTGAGTCTCCTACAGATGCTGGCTCACAAAGCAGTCTTTGAGATAGATGTGATCTCTGAGGTCTAGTTGATAGGAGTCCATAGAAGTGACAGCATCATACCAAACATAGGCGGACCCAGGAATTTTTTGCTGACTTGGTTGAACATGTCATCGTATCCCAATTACGCAGATCTATGCTCATGCTGTTGATCACTGGATTGTCTGGTCCAGACTCGATTATTTTCAGACCGCTGCCATATAGCTGGAATATTGCTGAGTGTGGCGTAAAACTAAACTCACTCACTCACTCCTTGATGTAGTACTGAGATATGATCATATCTATTCTTACATGTCATACTGAAACTGTGTCATACACTTCTGTTCCAATATGGTACTCAGGCTTTATGAAATTACCAAGGGACATAACTCTTCATCGAGTCTGGATGAATTGGGGTACTGGCAACCTATGCTGAAACAGAACCAGTTTGCTGAATATGCCTAGTGTTTTGTGAATTATGTGTATTGTTTTGTGGCAGGTGGAGGAGAAGGTGAAGAAGCAGCACCGTGAGTACATCCTGCGGGAGCAGCTGAAGATCATCAAGAAGGAGTTGGGCATTGAGAAGGATGACAAGGATGCCATTGAAGAGAAGTTCCTCGCCAGACTAAAGGTATGCCATTGAGCAGTAGTTCCTCGCCAGACTCAAGGTAATTGAGGCCATTGAGAAGCTCCTCTCCATCTCGACAAGAGAATGTCATTGAGAAGTTCCTCTCCATTCGAGGTAATTGAGGAGCAGTTCCTCTCCACTCGAGGTAATGGTAATGTCATTGAGGAGAGTTCCTCTCCACTTAAGGTAATGCCATTGAGAAGTTCCTCTCCACACAAGGTAATGTCATTGAGAAGTTCCTCTCCACTCAAGGAGGTAATGTCATTGTAATTGAAGTTCCTCTCCACTCAAGGTAATGCCATTGAGAAGCTCCTCTCCACTCGAGGTAATGTCATTATGAAGTTCCTCTCCACTCAAGGTAATTGAGGAGCAGTTCCTCTCCACTCGAGGTAATGTCATTGAATAGTTCCTCTCCACTTAAGGTAATTGAGGAGATGTTCCTCTCCACACAAGGTAATGCCATTGAGAAGCTCCTCTCCACTCAAGGTAATGTCCACTTGCAGGAAGTTCCTCTCCACGAGGTAATTGAGAAGGTAATGCCATTGAGAAGCAAGTTCCTCTCCACTCAAGAGGTAATTGAGGAGATGTTCCTCTCCACTCCACACACAAGGTAATGCCATTGAGAAGCAGTTCCTCTCCACTCAAGGTAATTGAGGAGATGTTCCTCTCCACCTCAAGGTAATTGAGAAGCAGTTCCTCTCCACTCAAGGTAATTGAGAAGCAGGAGATGTTCCTCTCCCACTGAGGAGATGTTCCTCTCCACTCAGGGAGGAGAAATCCACTGAGAAGAGATGTTCCTTCCACTCGAGGTAATTGAGAAGCAGTTCCTTTCCACTCAGGTAATGCCATTGAGAAGCTTCTCTCCACTAATGCCATTGAGAAGCCATTGAGAAGCTTCTCTCCTCTCCACTCAAGGTAATTGAGAGGAGATGTTCCTCTCCACTCAAGGTAATTGAGGAGATGTTGAGCAGTTCCTCTCACACAAGGTAATTGAGGAGATGTTCCTCCACCTAAGGTAATTGAGAAGCTTCCTCCACTCAAGGTAATGCCATTGGAGAAGTTCCTCACCATGTTCTCTCCGAGGTAATGTCATTGAATAGTTCCTCTCCGCTTAAGGTAATTGAGGAGATGTTCCTCTCCACACAAGGTAATGCCATTGAGAAGCTCCTCTCCACTCGAGGTAATGTCATTGCAAAGTTCCTCTCCACTCAAGGTAATGCCATTTAGAAGCAGTTCCTCTCCACTCAAGGTAATTGATGAGATGTTCCTCTCCACTCAGGGTAATGCCATTGAGAAGCAGTTCCTCTCCACTCAAGGTAATTGAGGAGATGTTCCTCTCCAATCAAGGTAATTGAGGAGATGTTCCTCTCCACTCGAGGTAATTGAGAAGCAGTTCCTTTCCACTCAGGGTAATGCCATTGAGAAGCTTCTCTCCACTCAAGGTAATTGAGGAGATGTTCCTCTCCAATCAAGGTAATTGAGGAGACGAGGTAATTGAGAAGCAGTTCCTCTCCACTCAAGGTAATTGAGAAGCAGTTCCTCTCCACTCAGGGTAATGCCGTTGAGAAGCTTCTCTCCACTCAAGGTAATTGAGGAGATGTTCCTCTCTACTCAAGGTAATTGAGAAGCAGTTCCTCTCCACTCAAGGTAATGCCATTAAGGAGAAGCTCCTCTCCACTCGAGGTAATGTCATTGCAAAGTTCCTCTCCACTCAAGGTAATGCCATTAAGGAGAAGCTCCTCTCCACTCGAGGTAATGTCATTGCAAAGTTCCTCTCCACTCAAGGTAATGCCATTAAGGAGAAGTTCCTCTCCACTCAAGGTATTGAGGAGATGTTCCTCTCCACTCAAGGTAATGTCATTAAGGAGAAGCTCCTCTCCACTCGAGGTAATGTCATTGCAAAGTTCCTCTCCACTCAAGGTAATGCCATTAAGGAGAAGTTCCTCTCCACTCAAGGTAATTGAGGAGATGTTCCTCTCCACTCAGGGTAATGCCATTGAGAAGCTTCTCTCCACTCAAGGTAATTGAGGAGATGTCCCTCTCCACTCAGGGTAATGCCATTGAGAAGCTTCTCTCCACTCAAGGTAACTGAGGAGATGTTCCTCTCCAATCAAGGTAATGCCATTAAGGAGAAGTTCCTCTCCGCACTCATCGTAATGCCACTGAGAAGTTCCTCTTCCTTCAAGGTAATGACATTGAGGAGAACTTCCTTACCAGACTAAAGGTAATGCCATTGAGAAGAAATCCTCTCCACGCTCAACGTTATTGAAGCCATTGAGGAGAGGTCAACAAGGGTTTATCAGTTAGTACAGAGATATGATCCGAGTAGTAAGATTACCCATTCAAAGTTTGAACAATATTAGGTTTTTACTTTAGTTGTTTCATTGATTACATGTGCATGATTTGACCACCGATTCTATTATCCCCATGTTCATGACACATCTGTTGCAGACATGGATCCCATGTTCATGATCGAGTCATTGATCATATCTTCATGATTCTGCCATAATAATATATTCATGATCAGGGCTCGATTAAGTGCTTTGTTACTTGCACTGGTGCAACCCAATATTACATAGTGCAACCTAGTTATTAGTCTAACTTGCACCAGGTGCAACTCATTTTTGATTGGGTAAACTCTGAATAAAACATCTAAATAATTCAATAGCATATTTCATACAGAACATATTGCAATAAAAGCAGTACAACTGGAATTTGCTGGTGCAACTTGTTTTTTATCTTAGGTTGCACCTGGTGCAAGTAGGTTAACATATCTTGAATCGATGATTCAGTTATTGGTCCCATGCTCAATGTCCAGTGTTTGTTGTTGTAGGACCTCACTGTACCAAAGCATGTGCAGGAAGTTATAGACGAGGAGCTCACCAAGCTGTCCCTGCTAGACAACCACTCATCAGAGTTCAAGTAAGTCACAACCCTATAGGATGGTCAGCTAAGACACAGCAAAACAGCTTGTCTGGCTCATTTTCACAGTTGATGCCTGAAAAGATAATTATTGGAAATCTAAATATCATGGCTAATATTTTTTATTTGTAATATTTTGTTAATATTAATATAAATATTAAACGGATCTGCAGCAGAAATAATATGAATTTGTCTAATATAGTATTCACACCAGCGTTAAATCTATAGTATGACCAGAAATTATTGAGAAATTTAGGAATATGTTTAATTGGATTTCTAGGATAAACTACCTTGACCAGCTATCAAGTGCTTGGTTTCATTCAAGAGAGACAACTCCGTTAATCCTTTTTCATTAGTTTGTAAAGAGTTATCCCCCTTTGTTTACTTGCTAGCAGACGACATTTTCAGTGATACTCAGTATGGATGATTTAGAGAAGAGAAAGTTGATTTTAGAGTATTATAACAAGGACATCAGATGAGCTAAAGTGATTTCAAGTAGAACAGGCATCCCTTTGTCCACTGTTTATCGTGTTTTGAAAAATATTGCAAATGGATATGACATTGAGCACCAGGGAGGCACAGGTAGGCCCAGAAAATTGACTGTCAGTGACAGGAGGCGGCTTGGTATTCTTGTTTCTAAAAACAAACGAAGGAGTTTAGAAAACTTAAGGCTGGATATGATTGATAGAGGAACTGTGGCTGTCTGTAAGGAGACAATTAGAACTGAGCTGCATGCAATGGGTTGGCAGAAAAGTTGAGGAATTCCATCACCAATCATGAAACCTGAACAAAAGGAGCAAAGGTTGAACTGGTGCTTACAGCATAGAAATTTTAACTGGGACAATGTGATTTTCTTAGATGGAAGTTCTGTGTGGCTGTTTCCTAATACACTGAAATTCTGGACCAAACAAACTGAAAAACCTTTGTATCAGCGCCCTAAGTACAGTCCGAAATTTAACGTGTGGTGTGGCATATCTGTGTTAGGGGCAACGCCCCTCTGTGTATTTGAAGGGAATATGAACAGTGAGAAGTACACCGATATTCTCGAGGGACATGTACTTCCATCTGCTCACGTGTTTTATGGATATCTTTGGATTTTCCAGCATGACAACGACTCAAAACATTGTTCAAAGCATTCACAGGCCTGGTTTCGGACCCAAAATATGACATTATTAGATTGGCCAAGCTATTTCCCTGACCTAAATCCAATAGAAAATGTTTGGGGACTTATGAAGGAAAGTGTCAATAAGAATAATCTGACAATTATTGCTGAAATGAAAGAAGAGGTGGTCCGATATTGGGACAGCATAACAACGACTTTCTAACTTCTTTGATCAGTAGTATGCCCCGCCGCATTGAAGCCTGCATTGCTGCCCATGGTGACTTGACAAAATACTAACTGTCTTTGAATCTGGAATTATGTTCTGCTAATATTCACATTTAATACATGAGTAATGAGTGAAAAAATATAAAATTTCAATCTTTAAATTCTCAATAATTTCTGGTTGTACTGTAACTTACTCACTCCCTTACAGTGCAAACTTTCATGCATCCAGATTTAATTTGTACTGAGAATAATATTGTCCAAGATATTTTTACGTTTCGAGACCATTCCAGGTCCCTTCATCAGGTGAAACAGAGTGGTTTGGTATATACCACAAAGGCAAATAGTTTCTGTAGATGTCTGTTTAATGGCAATAATAACTGAAGAAGGTCCTGTAAAAAAATAAATACATGGCATCAAAATACGCTACAATACTTCATGGGCCAATACATGTGAGGCTTAGCAATAAGTACTACGATCATATATAATCAATACAATCATTATTAATCCAGGTCACAGAGCAGACGTGTGTATATATGTATATAACGTTTATATTTCAACATACAGGTGTAGCATCATACAAGTACATAACATAATTATTTACAATATAATAAGAAAGAACCCTCACCGAGTGCCCCTTTGAGGTCACAAACATCAGGAAATATGTTTGCCACACCTGAACATAAACATATACAAAATCAATACTATGTAACGTTCTACATCTATACATTATCACTCTACTGTACATAAAATATCTGTTCCAATAGCTCATCTTATCTCACATACATTCATTCATTCATTCACACATGCAAAGTTAGGTGCATTAGTTTATAGAAGTAGATGTACACATTTTGTTTACCTACACAATAATTTATATGTTAGGTAACATTCTCGTGGGAAATGTTATTTAGGATTACCAGCAATAAATACTTACATATGTAAAGTATTGCTAACACCTAGTTATGCTAAATATTACAAATATTTAATTTGGTTTATATTTACCACAGTCCCCCGCCGTGATGTTGCTGGAATATTGCTAAAAGCGGCGTAAAACCAAACTCAGTCAGTCAGTTATATTTACCACACATAACATGATACATGCTTTAAAGGAAGCTGAGAAATAATACATACACACTAAACATGAAGACATAAAATATACAATCCAATTATAAACTAACCTGTTATAAGCTGTTGCTAGCTATGACCAATGACCTGACAGACTGAAGTGGAAATGGTAGCTGACCCACAAAACACCCTGCTATTGAATATGAGGGGGTAAGAGTTCCGCCCGTAACCCCTACTTGAAATGTATTCTATTTATTAGGATTATTTCGAGGGTTTAGGGTGAGGTTTAGGGTTAGATTTTAGGGTTAGGTTTAGGGTTAGGTATAGGCTGTTTATAAAAAAACATAGGCGGGTATTCTCAGGCAAATAATAATTAAAAATAAATACGGGGGTTACGGGCTGAAATCTTTCCGTGAAAGTGAAGCAGGTTAGATTGAGTGGTTAAGCTAGGGCTAGACTTAGTGATTAAAATACAAATTAAAATACACTTGCTTATATATACATAATTACATATACTCCTATTAGATATGTAAACTGATGTGTGCTTTCTGTGATATGTACACTTATCGATGTGAATATATTCTCTGATACGTACTGGTATACTGACTGATGTGTGTGCAGCGTGACCCGCAACTACCTGGACTGGCTGACCAACATGCCGTGGGGGAAGTACACAGTGGAGAACATGGACCTGGACAAAGCTAACACAGTACTGGAGGAGGACCACTACGGCATGGACGATGTCAAGAAACGCATCCTGGTCAGTAGGTCCCTTTTATACCTTGACTCCCAGGTATTGATGTTGCCACAACCCACATCCTGTAGCTCCCTAGCTGAGTAGCTCCCTGTTAAAACTTTCAGGCACTAATGATGCCAAGAACCACATCTTTGCAAATAGCACCCAGTTAACTTTGTTCTATAGGCATTGATTTCAATGTTTGCTGTGCAGGAATTCATCGCTGTAAGTCAGCTGAAGGGGTCGGTGCAAGGCAAGATTCTCTGCTTCTATGGGCCGCCTGGAGTAGGCAAAACCAGCATTGCCAAGTCTATTGCCAGGGCACTCAACAGAGAGGTAGGTGACCTACACACTTGGAATACTACTCAATACTGTATGTTATTGGCTGCTAAGTAATGTTACACCATATTGATTGAAATGATTGTTCATTACCGGAAGAAGAGAAAACCAAAGACGTGTGTTTTATTTTTGTTTTACATTTACTGTAAGCGTGTTGATGTTCTTCACTGAAGATCACAGTGTAGATGTGGTGTATGGATTAGCATTGATTTTGAAAGTTTCTTAGCATGGTTAGCATCATGATGGACATTGTAACATGGATGGCAGTGTGTGGTACATACTGCTCTGTCAACATGCATATATGCTGAAAACAGTTATCTTACCTTTGGATGACTTGTGAAAGTTCATATGCAGCAAGTATGTTGTGTTACGAGTGGATTGAAAATTTAGTCTCCATGCATAACAAAGAGAGATCACTCAACAATTTAAGAACAGTTTAATTCTGGCAGACTAACTATATTTTACATTAGGTACAATAATATAAAGCAATTATCAGTGAGAAAAGTCTTACTTCTTGATAACATCATCTTCCATGTCCCCACAAGATCCCCTGAATATCAAGACATAAATCCAGCATACCAAGTGTGAAGCACAGAGTACTTCATTCACATAATGCTGACATGGCATGTACAATTTAAGCTACATTCCGTGCCAACATGGCACACCCCTTTATAACACTCCTGACCTGGGAACTGACCAGTTTGTATTCAACTGGCTAGAAAAAGACAAAAACCCAAGCTACAATTAGGTAACTGCCCTTTGTTGTCAGCTTACCCCAGCTTAACATAGACAATGGAAAGTTATGTCCCTGGTAAACAGAGCATCAGTGTTAATCACTGACAATCTCCACACATGTAACATAATAATATATTAATATAATTATCTGTATATAGAAAGGATGAATATAATTTTTTCTTCAAGGAAGAGATATATATCTAAACAGATTTTCATAACAATAAACATACACATTTCCGCTGCCACCTTTTCACCTGCATACAAATTACACCCCATTTTTTCTAGTGTTTTCAGTATCTTATGAAACTATAAGGCCTAGGTAGCTGAAACAATTATCTCAGCTTTGCTGTCTTAAACTACTGATCACAGAATATTCAAACACAGCAGCCATTCAAGGAGAAACATAAGGATGAATATCAACACCTGATGATGGCAAAAGATATACTCAAAAGTGTATTTCATAAGAAAGAAGTTGACATCACTATATCAGGATATGTTCTTTCCCTTATGAGGCTTAAAAGCACGACTGCCATCAGTTCTCATATTTCAAATGAAATTTCAGAATTTTGTGAATATATGCTGAAGTATTGTTTACATGGTCAGAAGATTGAAATGAAACTAATGCAAAGAACTGTCAGAATCTGTTTCTGTGTCTGTTAATACAGGGAGATAGTGACTTGAGCTACTATGGTATATTTGTTATTTGCAGTATTTCCGATTCAGCGTTGGTGGCATGACTGATGTAGCTGAGATCAAAGGGCACAGGTGAGCATTAAATACATACGACCAAATCAATTGTTGAAAAATAGGATATATTTGCCATGTTTAACAACAGCACTGTACCACTGCACCGGTTTAATAGACACAATGTTCTGACATTAAATCACTTCCAGTGGTTCATGATCCGTGTTTGTGGAGGGATGTGTGTGTCATGTCTAGTAATCTGTGTTGTGTTTGTACAGTCGTCAGTGAATGATCTTTTCTCTCCAGGCGGACATATGTTGGTGCCATGCCAGGGAAGGTCATACAGTGCCTGAAGAAAACCAAAGCAGAAAATCCCCTTGTTCTCATTGATGAGGTAAGAAGCAAGGCAGCTATGATGCAAACTGTCCAAGATGGTGATTCACAGGGTTCAATAATGTGCTGCTTCAACTGCCGAAGACGTGCACACTTTTGTCATTATAAATAATGGATTTAGTGATTTCAAAGCTTCTGTAAGATTGGAGCATGTCGGGTGTTGTAAGACTAAGAAACTAGAGATTTCCCTGCTGCACTGATTTGTGATCTGTTTATGTAATTGTCAAAAGAAAAACATTATCTTGCATGTTAGGATGATTTTCGGGATACAAATTCTGTCACTGAAATTGTTCAATTATTGACTATTTTCAGTGCAGGTCTTGACATTGTGTCATGTGGTCTCTGGGACAGTAAGACATCATCCCTTTGTACTTAATGGTAATCGTACACTCTGATAATTTGAATTGGGAAGAAAACCCATAAAAATCTGTGTTCATGGGGCTGCCACCTTGCCACATTTTGTTTTTGATCAGAAGTTGGCTATGTTATTCTTTTTCTTGTTCAGGTGGACAAAATCGGCAAGGGTTACCAAGGTGACCCATCATCAGCTCTCCTGGAGTTACTGGACCCAGAACAAAATGCCAACTTTCTCGATCACTACCTGGACGTCCCCATTGACTTGTCAAAGGTGAGCCGTGTGGAATACAGACAGTTGTAGAATCTTTAAATGGTGTTTGCAGAGCTCCAGATAAGATTTAGCTCATGTGGGTACTGTACCCACTGTATTTTTTTGGAGTGGGTATTATGAATGTTGAGTGGGTATTTCATTTACCGTTACCCACTGCTTTCAAATATGTACGTATTTCAGTCATTTTACACATCTAAGTATTGTGTCATTGAGTAAGTTTACTAAGCAGGTATGTTCTGCCTTATGTCATACCTAATCAAAACCAACTTAAATATAATGGAAATGATTTTATAAAAAAACAGTCATCCTATACTGACAGTACAACACTTGTCCTATACTAACAGTACAACTTGATAGCAATCGATGTCTTTTTCATTACGCAAGCGATTTTTATAAGTATGTTCCATACGCATTTGTTTTAAACTCTTTGCGTATCTAACAGTTTAAATGCGTAATTGGTACGCAACAATTATTTTTCAATGCGTAATTGGAAAGTTTCTATGCGTATTTTACCTGGATATGCAACTTATCTGGGCCTCTGGTGTATGTTTAGTAATGTGTGTACCCTTTGATCCTGTAGGTACTGTTCATCTGCACTGCTAACATCACCGACACAATCCCGGAACCACTGAGAGACCGGATGGAGATGATAGACGTGTCAGGATATGTGGCTGAGGAGAAAGTGGCCATTGCTGATGTAGGTAACATTCCTCACACACTAGACCCTGATGATCAAAATGTCACTGTTCCCAGTGAAAAGTTTATCAAAATTCTAGTCTGGCTAACTATTAGCATTTAGTAACAACCGTTCAGTTATTTAAGTAATTGTTTGTCTTATGCCCTGTGTGTGTCTTCCTCTGTCCTTTAGTCCCTTGTCTATCATGATTTAAGAGTGGCAGCCATATTGAAGCAGTATGTATGTTTGTCATTACTCAACCAGTTTATTGGACCTGGGGTAATCGGTACATGTTTTTGCCAGATTTGGATTTTTTGTCATTAACTACAAGTCCATTCTTCAGTTGTTTCTGTTCCGATTGTGATGAATTTATATATGCTAAGTTTGCCAAATTGTAGTTGGTGGTATGGCTCAAGACATTCCATTTTTCATGGGATTAAATATTTTGATCTTCTAATATGTTTCAGTGCTAAAACTTTCAAAGTCAATTTAAACTTGCCAGGATTTTTAAACGTAATTAATTTTGGCTAACATTTCTTCCAATCGCCAGCAGCTGAAGGGATGGTGTAAATCCAGCTAGGGTCCATGCAGGTAGCAAAAAGTAATGTAAGTCCCCATGGTCCCTAGTATGGTGACCTACTTTCAGTTGTTGGTGATCTATAGCCTACTTTTATATTGTGTTGTCCCCTATGGTTAAAATGTTTTAGACTCTATTACTAGTTTTACATGTATATCTGTGATATTCTAGTTGTTTTACTGCCCTTCGTCGGCAGATTTTTATAATTGCCATATATTTCATTCCAATATCAAATGTTCTCGTCACGATATGGCTGAAATATTGCCGATGTGACGTTAAATATTAACTCACTCACTCACTCTAATATGTTTCATAGAAATACCTGATTCCACAAGCCCAAGACCACTCAGGGGTTCAAGAGGACAACATTGACATCAGTGATGATGCCATCAAGACACTCATCAAGTCCTACTGTAGGGAAAGTGGAGTGCGCAACCTCCAGAAGCACATAGAGAAGGTTTGCAGTTTTCTCTCTAGGCTTTCACTGAAGAATATATTGAGTCAAAATGGAAATAATATGTTTTTAAATTGCGTAGAGTGATTTGGTTTGGTTTGAGGGAAAAATAAAAGTGCAGTTAGGGCCATATATGTACTGTAGACAGGGTGTAACATGGTCAAAGCTTTTGTTTTATACAGATCTATCGCAAGGCTGCGTACAAGATGGTGAGGGAGAAAGTGGACAACATTCATGTAGATGTGGACAACCTCCAGGACTATGTGGGCAAACCGATCTTCACCACCGACCGCATGTACGAGGAAACACCCCCAGGGGTAGTAATGGGCCTTGCCTGGACTTCCATGGGTATGTTGGAGAAACAGAGACAGATATGTGTGGCTCTTTATAAAGTGACCTGTCAAGATTCGGGTTAGAATTATTGATCTTCTGCAACCCATGCTTGTCGTAAGAGGCAACTAAAGGGATTTGGTGGTCAGGCTCGCTGACTGGGTTGACACATGTCATCATATCCCAATTGTGTAGATTGATGTTCATGCTGTTGATCCCTGGATTGTCTGGTCCAGACTTGATTATTTACAGACCACCGCAACATAGCTGGAATATTGCTGAGTGTGGCGTAAAACTAAACTCACTCACTCACTTGTGCTGTCTGTTTAGGTGGCTCCACGCTGTACATTGAGACGGTCAACAAGAAACCTATCTCACCGGACTCCACTGACGCGGGATCCCTGGAGGTCACAGGTCACCTGGGTACTGTGATGAAGGAAAGTGTCAACTTGGCATATACCTATGCCAAGTCCTTCCTGACAGAATACAACCCAGATAACTCCTATCTGCAGAAAGCTAACGCGCATCTGCATGTGCCAGAGGTATGCATAGTGGAAGTTACTAGATCCTGTAACTGTTGTATCTATTAAACAATACAAATTTCCAGCCTACCTCAAGACATTTTCACACAAGAGTCAGTAGCATTATTGAAAAAGATATTCTGGTACATAATGTCTTTAACTATATACAATGACACTCTGTTGCCAGGGAGCGACTCCGAAGGATGGTCCAAGTGCTGGTTGCACTATCACCACAGCGCTGCTGTCATTAGCTCTAGACCGCCCTGTTCGACAGAACATGGCTATGACAGGGGAGGTGTCTCTCACAGGGAAAGTTCTGCCAGTCGGGGGAATCAAGGAGAAGACAATAGCTGTAGGTTACGTTTGTCTTGTCAGCATGAAGATCCAGGCTCGAATTTGTTTTCTGCATAAGATGCTTGTTGTAATAGAGCTGTGTGGTCAGGCTTGCTGAGTTTGTTGAGGCATGACATCGTTTCCCAGCTGCATTGATTAATGCTCAGTCGATCACTGTCCAGATCGAAATGCAGAGACTGCCATCACATTGTTGGAATGTTGTTGCATGCAGATCAAACAACTAACACTCCGTCAAATATAGTTCACTCTCAGGTCTCTTCCCTCATCGACCGCCTCCGTGGTGTAGTGGTTAGAGCGTCCGCCCGGAGAGCGGAAGGTCGCAGGTTCGATCCCCGACCACGTCATACCAAAAGATGTTAAAATATGGTACTTGTTGGTCCCTGCCTGGTGCTCGGCATTAATGGGTACAACAAGGACTGGTCGACTCAGAGTCAGTATAATGTGTCTGAGTGGGGTATTCATGCTTCACTGCGGCATGGTATCTCAGTGGGCTAGCACTATAAAACCAGCTTAAATCTGGGCTAGTACAAGCAGCTGCACATACACATGCATGCATGTCGTCATATGAGCGAAATATTCTCAAGCACAACGTTAAACCCACTTTCACCTCACCTCACCTCTTCTCTCATCAGTGTGTTCAGCTTGGATAAGTTGAATTCTGTATAAATAAACTGCCTCTATGGTCTAGTGGATACAGCATCTGCCCAGAGAGCAGACAGTCTGTGCTCTGATACCTTGGTGCCTCATCTCAAAAGATGTTAATAAGTGGTACTGTTTCTTGCCTGCCTGTCCTGCATTAATGGGTGAAACATGGACTGGTCTGCTGATAGTATAATGTGTCCATATGCAGGATTCATGTTAAAACTGTAGCTTGGTATGACAGCATCAGTCTGGACTCTTACAAGCACACACACACACACACGCACACACAAGCACGCGCACGCACACACACACACACACGCCTCTGTAAGTGCAGTAGTTTGAATCCCCCTTTTCACCTGCCTGTATAAATAGATACATTGTTACTGAGTCATAGTTAGCTTTGACAATTTACATAAGAGAAGATTTAGCTGTATTTTGTTTTGTCTAAGACAATATGATCCAATATGTTGCTCTGCACCCAGTTGTATGTGGACGAGTCAATGGTTTCGTATACCAAACTTTGGGGTGGTGGGGTAGCCTTGTGGTTAAGCGTTCGCTCGCCATGATGAAGACCTGGGTTCGACTCCCCACATTGGTACAATGTGTGAAGCCCATTTCTGGTATTCCGTGCCATGATATTGCTGGACTATTGCTAAAAGCGGCGTAATAGTAAACTCAATCACTCGCCCACTATATCAAAATTTACATACCATTGAAGTTCTCAACAACATCCTCAAAATCTGAAAACATCTAATGGTTGTTTGTTTTGTTAACACCAATGCTGTGTGTGATTTTCCACAGATCTATTTCGACACATCCTTGAGTAACTGTGAGACATGACTCCTGGATGATGTTATACGTTTCCATGGAAACTTACAGCCTGGTTACCAGAATGCTATTAAATATCAAAAGAATACCAAAATATTGATCAAATGCAATTTATGATGGAATGGATACTCCTGGCACACAGCTAGATGCACTTTTTAAAATTGTAATGTTATCCTTAAAATGGGTTTGAGGATTTCATTTGAAATCCATTTGACTACATATTTCTCACTGTCAGATTTCGAAACACACTCCCATTGGTGTCATGATTGGTTGTGATGTTGCAGGCCAAGAGAGTGGGAGTAGATTGCATTATCTTGCCTGCTGAGAACAAGAAGGACTTCTCAGATCTTCCTGACTACATCACCGAGGGTCTTGAGGTCCATTTTGTCAACCATTATAAGGAGGTGTTCAGTATTGTATTCCCTGATGTGTGATGTCATCTGTGTGTGTGTGATGTCATCTGTGTGCGTGTGATGTCATCTGTGTATGTGTGATGTCATCTGTGTATGTGTGATGTCATCCTTGAATAACCAGTGTATTATGAAAACTGTGGACCGATTCTGTTTTGAGTAAGAAGTACATTCAGGTGTGAGTTGATTCTGTGGAAACGGCCAAAATATAGATGGGGATTTCCCAGATGAAGCTATGGAAGAGGATGAATCCAGGGTATTTATTATGACAGAATGATGACATGATACCCTGTATAAAAGAAGATGGTACAATGCCAGTTACCTGTGTATGTTTGATTCTAGCTCTGTGCGTATGTTTAATGGCTGTGAATGGTTGACTTACCTGGATTTATAGATCTAACATTTGCTTGAGTCGGATGACTTGATTACAATTGGTACTAACCCAGATTTGAATACAAGCAATATCTGTTTGGTTTGAAATTCTGTTTTAGTGTTTCTCAGTCAGTTCTTAGATATTATTTTCCTTGGATTATTGCTTGAGGAAGTGACCAGATTTAAAGAGCTGTGGCCTATTTTACGAGAGCTTCCTGGTTTCTCAGACCACTTCTGCCATTTTGCCATTTTAGATTTCTTTTGATATGTTTTGGTACTTCCGTAGTGTCGAAACAGTGCTATTGAAATAACAAAACTATCTTGAGAATTTTTAGATTTATATTCAGATCCAAATTACGATTGTTGTTATTAATCAGAGTATGATGAGATTTTATCGCATATGGACCCAGTTGATGGAGATGGCAATGTGATTTCTGTAACTATAACATAATCAGAATCGTGACAGGAATATTGTGTTGTGAGGTGTCTGGTTTTGTAAAGTCCATATAAAAGCTCCATATACACAGCTATACATCTTTTCAGGTTAGGATATCGCATATGATGAAAATGTGCTGTTCAATTGATAACTCAAATCCTATCCTTATTCTGTACACATGATTTCACTCACTGGAACTGACGGTTACTATTTGATGAAAAGTGAAAGCTCTATATCATACCAAATAAAATAGCAAGGTTATCCATGCATGACACTCTACATGGTCACTGCTTGTGTGCTACAAGTCAGAATGAATACACAATGCCATTTAGAAAGTGGTCAAATGTAACATACGTTATATTTGGGATTATACCTATGACTTAGCCACTATGACTGAGCAGGTTTGGCAGCTGACTTAGTGTGCTGGCGATTAGGTGCCTGACTCTGGGGGTGTGGGTTCGAATCCCAGATGGGACTCAACCCAACAAAAGTACTAGAATCTTTACTTTACTGAGAAAGTGTAATCCCAAATATAACATCTGTTAAAGTCAGCATGAGCATTGAATTATCTTGATAGCACATTCATTCTGTTTACTACAAACATGAGATGGACAACTTTTATTTCAAATAAGAATGGAGCCAGAAAGACAGTTTGAAAGGGAACATCCAAAAACATATATAATATATATATATATATATAGTATATATATATTGTCCAGTGAGTGGACACGTAATGGCCACAAGTTGGCCTTCTCATGATTCTAAATGTGTGGCTGGTTGGTAGGTTTGGTTGTTATTTAAGAGGATCAAGTGAAACATATTTATTGCATTAATTCTATATTCATGTACAGCATCCAGAGAAATATATAGCATTAAGACATTGGTTGAATTATTGTGTACAGGGGCATTATGGTGTTTTGTATTATATTTAACAGGATACCAAGTTGCGTAGAAGTATCAACTGTATATCTTCATTTATTTCTTCATTTTGTTATGAATGAATACGTTTGAGTGTTCTACATTTTAGAATGTAAATTGTAGCCATTTGTGTGTAATATCAAGATTATTGTCTCTGTTATCAAGACATTGGGTATGACAGAGTTATTTCCCTTTGTTAACATGAAAGTAATTTCCTCTGACGTGACTACATAAACAAGTAATGTAACTTTGAAGTAAATTAAACTCTTAATGCAGGGGTGGAAATAACCCATTGCCCGACGCTTGAGACCAGTGTTTTTTACTGTCGGGCAAGCAAATTTGTATATCACACTGTACCGGTGTCCAGTTGATATTCCAATGTTAATTATGTTGTTTATTTAAAAAATCAACAAGAAAACGGCCGGTATAGTGGAAAAATTATCAGGGCAAGTGATTTTACATGTGCCACTGTACTGGAGTACACTAGCAATATTAAAGTTATTTCCACCCCTGTAATGGAATCTGAACCAGACAGTCTACACACAGACTTTTGCAAGAATTAATTGGTATTTTGACCCAAATAGATGGATAAAGGCTTTGCTGAAATGTCCACTGGATAAGACATGAATCATCTGAGTCAAAGCGGCTGGTTAACCATCCCATTCAGTAAATGACTAGAGGCATTGAAAAAACCATGTAATAACATTGAGAAGATCTTTTCACTTCTTAAAAGATATCAGTGCACCTTCACTACTTGCATCGTTGGAGTTTGAGAGGCAATAGAGTTTGTCAACCTTAGTAATTCCCTTGTTTATGATTGTATCTTTAATTAGTCACATGTCTTAGTCAGTTTCACTTGCTGTATACTCCAGCACCTAATAATTCAGTTATTTCGGTTATTTCATGCTTGCCCAGGTATGGAGTGGTTGTACTATTTAGACCGAGATTGTGAACGATTGTTAATGATCACAACCAAACTCATTGGGCGATATTGTCCTGTACCATATTATCACAATGTGAACATTCATGTATAAATGTACTATTGTCAGCTGTTCTGATGCAGGAATAAAGCTGAATAATGTATGTATTTTGGCATCTTGTTATGGGTTATTGAAGAACGTTATGATTGTACTTGTCAAGATGGGTACAATGTGTGAAGCCCATTTCTGGTGTTCCCCGCCGTGATATTGCTGGAACATTGCTAAAAGCGGCGTAAAACCGAACTCACTCACTCACTCACTTGTCAAGAAAACCTTTCACTCTGTGGTGAATGGGGTAGCCTAGTGGTTAAGGCATTAGCATGTCATGTCAAAGACCCTGATTCAATTCCCCACATGGGCACAACGTGTGAAGCCCATTTCTGATGTCCCCCACCGTGATATTGCTGGAATATTGCTAAAGGTGACATACAACTAAACTAAATCGATCAATCACTCTGTGGCAATAACATCATGATGTAAGTTCTTTGAGAGGCATTTTAGAAGTTGTGAAGATGAAGGAAAACTAAGTTCTATGGATAGAACTTGCTTGATAAGGGTGTTCTGTGGCTATTGGACCAAGTGAGGAGCCAAGGACGCTGTAGTCTAGAAAATAACATACACAGGTAGACCCTGGTTACTTGATAGGTCTTGAGCAATCAGTGCTGGTTATAAGAGGTGTCTGAATTGTTTAGGTGGTCAGACCTGTTGATTTATCCTTGTTCATTATATCAATCACTGTATTTTCTGGTCCAGAATCAGTTTATTTACAGAACACACTCTTATAGCTATAACACTGCCAAATGCATACACTTACATACACACATATATACCAGAGACAATCTTGCACAAATGTTTACCAATAATTGGTTTTCAATAGAGTAGCTCGTCTTCTGTTTCTAATCTTTCGATGACGTTTGGTAGTGGGGGTGAAGTCAGGCCAATCTTAGCAGGACATCCAAACAAGGCTTCATACGGACTGCACTTAATACCTGCATAAAGTGCCGAATTCTGTTGGAATTTTACAAACATGATTCCGACAAGAGTAAAGCCGCGAGAAAATGACCATGGCACCCTGACTCAAGGTAGTAATTAGCCAAGAGTGTCATCAGTAAATTGTCAAAGTTTTCAACTCCTAAGAACGAGGGATGAAATAAGACTCAACAGTAAATTGTTTTACTACAAACAAGTTTTAAGCTATAAACATTAATTTCGCACATTCACTGATAGGGAGTGTGTGTAATGGAACACCATGAAAATCAGTAATTTCACTCACTCACTTGAACTTTTAGGGAATACATGAAATCCCTGACGGTAAGGGTGATTTCACGAAACCGCTGTCTCTTTTAGGGATTACGTGAAAGCTCTGGTCTCACACATTCCCTGTAACATAAATAAGGTTCAGGACAATCACCACTCAGGACAATCACCACTCTGATTTGAAAACAGTTAACTCGTGGTTAAAGCGTCCTTTCTTCAGGAACCCGGGTCAATTCCCATTTCCAGTCTCCCCCCAGTAGTGATGTTGATAGAATGTTGCTAAAAGCAGCATAAACACCTACTCTCTCAAAATAACTCAAGTACCAGGTTCAGTAATGAGCAGGTATGTATTTCAACCACTGAGCCATGTTCATACATTTTTCCCCATGTGTTTATGACAAATAGTTAACGAGCTGCATGATCTTCAGATCAGTATTTATAGTTGAAGGTATTCACCCATTCCTCCACTCCACTCCTGCACCTGCAGGGGTTGTGGACACGACCAAGTACTTTCCTGTTCTCTGTAAACATGAGCACACAGACAACAGTACTCGCCAAGCTCAGATGGGTTTGACCTTGCAGTGTATAAAATAAGGCCCGTCCGACCGCCCGAGACGGGCTAGATTTCTGCCGGAAGGTCCAATTTTACAGCTAGCCAGCCCGATGGACGGGTGAAAAAAAATATTTCAATAACATGCCCACTGGCACTGACTGGTTAAATCCCTTCTGGGCTGGTAAGTTCAGCCCAGATGTCTGGCTGTGGTTTTGGCGTATTTCATACACTGGACCTTGGCAGTTCTTAGACGGGTGTCCTATTATGTACGTGATGTGCCAGGAGGATGTGGTTCTATTTAACACCAAACACTATCTTCCAACTTTGTAAGATTGTAATCAGTAATGGCCAGTATTTTGAATGTAAATGGTTCCGGACCCCGATCCACAAAATATTTCTAGCGCTACGACATTCGTAAGCCTATGGAAAACTAGAGTTACGACAGGCCGTAACGTTACGAACGCTTTGTGGATCGGGACCCAGATGTGTACAGTAAATGGTAAGCTGGGCCCCGTCTCGCATATCGCGCAAAGGGAGCCGTAGCTAAGATACATAGCGTTCACTGACGTTCATGTCAGTGAACGCTATGTATTTTAGCTAAGGGAGCCGGGGACCAGCTTACGGTAAATGGTTTCAGTGACAGCGAAATAAAGTATGTCATATAATTATGATGTCATGGCTAATGATGACGTCTCAGTGGCCTGCAATGTCACACGGGAGATAAGCGTTTGATGCTCCTATGCTTGTGCTGATACGTTCGATAACAAAAGACAAGCGGACAAGATTCTATTTGTCTTCCAAGATTCCTCCAAGCGATATCTCCGGTGGAAGCCACCTTTGGATGATATATTGGAATATCAGTCTCGCTCACTGAGCAATGTTAATGTTGAATTACAGCAAGAATGTAGTGTAGTAAAATGAATGTTCCCACTTTTACGTAAACCTCGATGGGATCCCAATAACGTCAGTCACTGCCCACAGACTTCCGCACCAATTTCAAGCCAAGTCGTCTTGAAGATGTATGGCCACTTGTCTGAACTATTGTGGGTCGACTGGCGGCGCAATACTATTGACGATTGGGACGAAACTTGTACTACTGTACAGAGAGCCTACAAGTGACACCATAACAGGAGCAACAGAAACACGAAGGGCACGTTTTGACGAATATTCAGGGAGTCAGTGAGTGAGGATGGTTTTACGCCGCTCTTAGCAATATTCCAGCAATATCACGGCGGGGGACACCAGAAATGGGCTTCACACATTGTACCCATGTGGGGAATCGAACCCGGGTCTTCGACATGACCAGCGGACGCTTTAACCACTAGGCTACCCCACCGCCCCGAATATACAGCCCATAAGCAGAACGCCTGCAGTTTCCAAATGACGTGGCAATGTACGAGCAGTCTACAATAATCCTCTGTAACAGTGATGCTTCATAGGGCATTCTTGGGGGCATTCTTGAAAGTCATCTGGTGCCGGTATCCAAGATACTTTGCCTATTAGACATGTTCCGAACTCACGGGAAATGACTCCAGTCCAGGAAGACGCCAATCCTGCCATTTTCATCTTGTCACACCCATGCACTCGCTCTCATCGATCCGTCTGTAATTTAGACTACGTTTTTCGTTTCTTTCACGAGTGTAATTGATTGTGGATCAGGTTGATATTGGCGCCGATCTCTGCCGTCGTGGTGTAGTTGTTCAACACTCACGATAATTCATTTGGACCACCCACTCAACATACGGTCACTCTTTAAGATCCGGGTTAGAAATGGTCTTCAGCAACCCATGCTTGTCGTAAGAGGCGACTAACGGGATCGGGTGGTCAGACTCGCTGACTTGGTTGACTCGCTGACTTAGTTATCGTGTCCCAGTTGTTATTTCAAAATAACTGGATTGTCTGGTCCAGACTCGATTATTTACAGACTGCCGCCTTGTATCTGGAATATTGCTGAGTTTGGCGTTA